AGTTTCATATTGTGTTTTTGTTTCTCTAAACTGAGTTTGATTAAAAATTTCAAAGAAATTTATGTAATTCTTTTTTTTTGTTAGCATGAGTTTGATGAAACGAGAAAAAAATCATAGTAATTACTTCATATTTATTCTTGAGATTTGGATTTCAAATTTGATATTATAAATTTTTATTTAATTATTCTTGCTACTAAATTTTCATTAAATTTAGATATATTATGTATTAGATAATTGAGTTTTTCGGCATGGTTAAAGTGACCGGAATACATCAAGATGATAGTTGGTGTTATATTGATTGCTTCGGATGTTCAAAGAAACTCGTCCTAGAGATATCTTCCTTCACATGTGTTTCATGTGATGAGACTAATGCTGTGGCGGTACTCAAGTGAAAATTCAGATTTTTTGTTTTTTGTCTTCTGCATATTAAAAGCAAATGCCATATATTTCTAGTCAAGAATATTGTAAAAATATTATTTTCCTGTAAAGAGGCACCGATTGACACTGTTTGGGTCAGATGACATTGATACAACATCATTCCTCTCTTTTGATATGGAAATGGCTAAATTGATTAACATTCAAGCTTCTGAAACTGCACAAACTGTGATATGACCTAAAATAAACCATTAACTATTAAGTGGTGCTATTAATTTTTATATTTATATTTGTAAATGTACATTAGAACCTATCATAAAATATCAAAAATATAAAATTATATTTATTTATTCATTTTTTCAATGAATTTAAAATGGTTAAAACTCATAACTTATTTTTTCATTGGAAGTTGTGTAGTGTGGTCAAAAGAATGGACTGGAAGTTAATAAACATTAGTAATGATCAAATTTTTATTTTATCTCGTATACTTTTTATGTAAAATAATTGATCAATTTACTAATGATTTAAACATTGTTATGGTTTTAGAATTATCGACTTCATGCATCAATGGTTTTATATTTGTTTTTTAACACCACCTACTAAATTAATTAATAGAAAATTCTATTTATTTATTCATTGTTTTTTCAATGAATTGAAAATGGTTCAAACTCTCAAATTATTATTTTTTCTTTGGAAGTTGTGTAGTATGGTCAAAAGAATGGACTGGAAGTTAATAAACATTAGTATTGATCAAACTTTTATTTTATCTCGTATACTTTTTATGTAAAATAATTGATCAATTTACTAATGATATAAACATTGTTATGGTTTTAGAATTATTGACTTCATGCATCAATGGTTTTATATTTGTTTTTTTAACACCACAAACTAAATTAGTTTTGGCTTGTCGTGTTCATTATTTACCTATGTTAATCTGTTTGTCATTGTAAATTGATTTACTTAACTTTAGGTCTGATGTCCAATGAGTCTCATCATAGCACTCTCTTACACAAATACAAAGCCAACAACTTAGTCAATCGTTTGTAGCCTATAATACCAATTGTTAGGTAGTCAAAAAAAAAATCATTATTAAAAAATTATTATCTAAAGGGGTCAACACGATATATAAATAAAAAGAATGAAAAAAATTTTTAGTAGAAAGTGAATGTAGCAAAGAATACTTTCTTTTCGCCAATCTAAAAGTAATCTCAAAATCAAACATCATCCCTATTAACGCAAATTCATCTTGTAAACTTTCGATTTAATCTTCTTCTTTTTTAACGTTGGAAAATTATGTTATTACAAATTATTAGAAATATTATAAGTGAAATAACATAATTTTCCACTCATGTTATTCCACTTATAATATTTCTCATAGTTTGTATATTATGTATCTTGTGACTACTATTGACACAAGTTAGTTTTTCTTTGATAAATTTTGTAACGTGCACATCCATTGTCTTCTCACTTCTGTTACTGAAATAAGTAAACAATTGAGCTATAATTACTATGCCGATCATTAAGAACACTTTATACTCTCTCTCTTTTTTTAACACTTTATACTCTGGAGCCAAACTGATCAACAACAAAACCCCAAAGAAAAGATACTAGTAGGCATCTGTACCAATACAAATGTGGGTAAAAGAAAAATCAAAGACCTATTGATCGTCATAAAACTTCTGAATGAGGCGAAATCTGACAACACATGGCACTACTAATAAACGTCTAAACAGAAACCATCGTGAAACAGTGAGCAATGCATAACTCCTCTGACTAGAACCAAGAACAAACTGAACATGGATGACAAGTACACAGAAGCGTCACCATCGAACTCCAACGAACCAGAGAAGCAAAGCAGTCATAAGACTCAACACCAAACTTAAAAACAAGAAACTGAATCAACTACAAATAGCAAAGGATGAATGGCAGCAAAGAACTAAATCGGCACAAATGACAGACCATACATGATTCTGTTGCAAAAGAATCTCATGGTAAAAGAGTTCTTCAACTCAAAGTTCTGTTTGGGCCATTTTTTGGAAACTTCTACGAAATGATTTTAGAATGAACAACTCTATATCAAGATCTAGTCGTTTTTCTTTGAATGTTGTGATAGACTTTAAAGAACAGCTTTTTGGATATGGGTTTACTCACACTGCCAAAGTAACCGCTTGACGTAGTGATGAATAATCTTCACTACCTCTAATTCGTTATGCGCCTCATAATGCACATGCAGGTACAGGCTTGCATACCTGAACAAATACACAACCATCATCTTTCACAACTAATGTTTTTTTTTCTGAAGAATAAGCTTAGTATATAAAAATTGACTATTTATGTTTCTACCTCTCTGATCTTTGTAGGTCGATGAAAAGCCTAGCTTGGATCATCTACTTGACAAGATCAAGCAGCTATAAGCGTAGTGTCTTGTTACTAGCGTTTTCTGTGAAGAGAATATGCTTGGACACTTCAGAGCTTGGTCAATCCTCCTAAATAAAATAAAGAGAATCAATTGAGTGGTCAAAAATGTGTAGGATGACTTGTCTAACGAGAATCTGAAAAACTGAGCACAATCAAACCAACATCTTAGCTGAAGAATAAGGATATATGAATGGATTTAAGGAGTCTGAAAGCAGCCAAAAAGAAGAGAATTAGAACTTGTTGGTTTTACCATCTCTGTACTTAGAACAGAGGAATCAACAGATTGAAAATTAATCCGCAATGGTAAATCAAAACCAACAAGCTTTTATTAAGAAACAAAACCTTTACTATCAATTGTAAGCATATATTCGTAGATCATACAGAAAAAAAAAACATTTATATGCAAACTTTGCTATGATTCGATTTTTAATTGGCAGGACACTACACTCTAAATGCATAATGAAGCCAAGAAGACAGAGCCAACATCTTTGCCAAAGAATCTGTGAATGGATCTAACAGAGCAGTCAAAAAGAAGAGAAGTAAAAATCAAGACTTTTATATAGAGAAACAAAGACCAAATAGCCATCAAACAAATCTATACAATGATCACATGAATACAGAGAAAACAAATATCTAGACTCTAAACGATTACACCTTCTTCAAGAATCAAGATCATCACGCATCACTTGTTAAAACCAACCCAAACTCTATTTATATGCAAACTTCACTATGATTCAATTGCGAAGACACTACTGGACTATAAAAGATTGAACCTACTTCAAGATCATCAACATCACCATGTCAAAACCAA